CTGATAAGAATATATACATCCAAAAAATGCCTGAGCAAAAGTGCCAAAATTCTGCTTCAGCTCCATCAGTAAGTGATATCTCATAAATACAGCAAAATAAAGTAATTTGATATTACACACATTACATCTTTGCTCCTAATTCACATCTCATTTTGTTCAGTGCATCTCAGTAATGATTCTTAAATGAATTAGGAACCAAACTGTATGAAATTTCAGTTTTACGGCACATAAATAACATTATGCAATGTGAGTAATGTGAAGTTGATTATTTTGCTGTGTTTAATAGATACCATCTGTTGTTTAAGCTAAAGCAGAATTTGGGCTTTTTTTTCCATGTTGAAGAGTTTTTGGATGGATTTCATATATTTTCTGCATTAAATTGTAATCATTATTATTAACTATACCTTTAAACCAAAACAACTCAGACAAGGTAGTAATATGCAGATCAGGATATTGCTAATATTACACATATTATTAAGTATGTTATATGGGACTGGCAAGTGTGTTATCATTAAGGATGATAAAGTGTGAGAAAGGGCTGGAAGCAGCAGTGACACCAGATAACACTCTGATTCAGAACTGAGCTATGTGAAATGAGTGTTTGAATCAAGCAACCAGACGAAGAAAAGGGGGGTATTTTTCATTTTTATTAATCAATGTTCTTTCTGTTTCATCACTGATGTCACATGCTTTCAAGAATAAATAAATACAAGTAAAAACAAGTAAGTAGACACAGATTGAATTCATGCACTAGCACTAGAATTAGTGTGTTTATATATATATATATATATATATATAATAAAATAAATGTGAGATAAAAAGAATTCAACGGGTTATGGATTTGTTTTCGTTTGTAATTAAGCACAAAGCTAAACAATGGGCTATCTGTGCTCTACCCACCACGGGTATCGAAACCCGGATTCTGGTGTTGTAAGTCCGCAGACATACCGCTGTGCCACTGGGGGGCATATTGGCTATGGAAGCTAGATGTTCATGTACAATCACTCAGTCTAATGTTCATTACTGTATTTGGCATGCTTACTTTTTGGAGTTGATTTCCTTAGTGGCAAATAATGGCAAAATACAGGTTCTTTTGATAGCCATTTTAAATCAGATTTTACATTTTTGACAACTAAGCTTTAGAAAAGTGTGCACACTGAACTTCCCTCTTTACATTTATACTACTAAGGAAAGAATAGTTACACCAATTTTTTTATTGCTGGACAATGATTACGGATACTGAAAAGTTTGAAATTTTCTGGAAACCTTCACCTGACACTAGAATCAAAAGGAGGCAAATGTGATTTTGCAGACTTGTTACAGAGGTGCATAATGTCTGGAATAAAACTAAACACTCAACATTTTTAGTTCCGAAGAAGAAAAGTAATCATGCATATCTTAAACCTATTGAGCAAACTGTGTAGACAGAAAAGACTGTAGTAGTTTTGTTTTTCTTTTCCTTTTGGCAACAAAACTACCGTTTTATTTGATATTACTATGGAAATAAAAAATGTATAATTTTGAAAAATATTTGGCTTTATTAAAATCAATCTTAAAATAAAAAGTATTATGTGAACTATCTGAAAAATTTCTAGGATGATAACCATACCTGAACTAGTGGTAGTTGCAGGAGTTCCAAAAGAGAAACCTGTAGACTGTTGTTGTTGAGGTTGTCCAAAGGTAAACCCTGATGGTGCTTGTGTGGTTTGTTGACCAGAACCAAAAGAAAATGACATTCTCTTTCAGATGAGCAAATTCAACCTGGTCTGAAATAAAATCTAAAGGTGAGTTAAGAGCTACTTGCTTTTTCTTTAACATAAATAAAAATTAAATTTTCATATTGTGAATATATTATGCAAGTTACCTTCAGTACTGATACTTATTAATATCAGTAAGCAGTTTCAAAACACTTTTAATCGAGGTTAAAGTTACAGATATATTCATATTCCTAATACTGGCAAACTCAAGCTATTAGTAGTTTTATTACATATTTCTTCTCATTAGTAGACAAAGCAGTAACTTTTCTTCAGTATGATCTCTGTTTAAATCTAATACAAATAGTCAACTGTCTCTTTAATGTATAACCAATGAACTGCCTTTAAGTTACAAATAAATCTGATAGACTATTTTATACTTTAAATTAGGTTTAAGCATTTTTCATCACAGTTAAATACTCAGTTGATGGTTTTAAGCTTTTATTTACAATCATACTGAAAACTCATTTCTCCACATCATTAATGCTTCTATCCCACATAAGCACATAATTTCCATAAGCACAAGTGAATACTTTACATTTCAAAAGTGAAACAAAATTTTGACATTCTGGTGCAGTTACTAGACTGTTCAGGTCTTTTTGAAAAAGAGAAATATACTCAAGAGTATCAGCTCTTCTTACAAATGCACAAGAAGTTTTCTAAACCACCAACACTGAAAATGAGAAAAAATGCCAAAATAGAGCTATGAGAAACCCTATTAGTTATATCCTAACAAAAAGAAAAATGGCATTTTATCATCACAAGCTGCTACCAAACTAATCTTTATCTGCCTTTTTTAACTTACTAAACCTTTAGTATAGCACCTTATGAAGTTCCTTCAGAAATAAAATATGCAAAACATTTATGACAGCACCATCATCCAGAGAAACATCAAAATACAAATTCTTGAAAATATCCTGTGGAAAAAATCCTTTCTCAATTAATAAAGAGAACCACTCACTAAATGCCAAACTTCTAAATGCTTTTTTTCAATGAGCTCTGAAAACATAGTTCAACATATTAGTAACTACAGAAATTGAATTAATATTTCTATAACCTCTTAGGTCCTCAGGTCTCATAAGGGATAGGAACTTTATTCCATGTAAATTTTGAAACTCTTTTGGAAATGACCTACTTTACAAAAACAAAATTTCAACTTTTAGAGAAACTGATAAGAAATAGGGATGAGTTTAAAATCATCAGTAAACTTTACTAATTACGCCCCTACCAATATCATGAATGTAAATATAAAAAACAAAGTTCAGAGCACTGACCACTGAGGTACTCCACAAGTAACAAGGGTCCAATTTGACTGAAATCTATTAATAACAACCTTTTGCTTTCTCACATCCAACCACCAATTTACTAGTCTTTCTCCAACCCACTGTAATGTCATTTTTTTAATCTTCTGTGTGGCAACTTAATGACCTCATCAAAAGCCTTTTGAAAATCTAATTGCACGAAGTACACATCTTTCTTTCATCAGAGTAATAAGTAACATCTTACAAAATGATAAAATACTAGTAATGCAAGATATCTCTTTGATGAATCAATGTTGGCTTTAATTTATATCATACTTTACAAAATTATTTTGAAAAGCTTCTTTTATCAGACTCACTTGAATTTTTACAGCTCCAGAAGTCATAACTGCAGAGCCAACTCTTTTCACCCACTTTAAAATAGGATAAATCTAAGCAAATCTCCAATCCTCAACTTTATATTAGACTACTAAATATGAAAGAGAGAGACTCGCATGTTTAATGTTTGATCTCCTTTAAAATCCTAAGGTAAACCTTGGCTAGCCCTGGAACTTTATTTTTAATCTTTCAATATTTCTATCCCCATATTACAGAAGAAATGTTGACTGTAATTCCAAATTTACTTTGCATACCTACCACAAATGTGGCAAGCTTTGAGTAAAATGTATATGTCAGTTGTACACACACACACACAAACAAAAAAATCTGATGTTTTACAGAGGTATTTTGTACTCAAGATATGTCTAAAAATTGACAATGCCATGCTAACTCAGACAATTGACAAGTTGGAACACAAAGTGATATTCATGCAAAGAATGAAAATACTTTTGTCCATCACACAGTTTGCATACTGTATTAACATAACCTCTGAAATACATATTTTCTTCCTCTACCACAAACTGTCACTAAATAAGCAATGTAGGGTCAAGTGAATAATTAATAACTGACATCAAATACAAAATACCATGTTGAATGGCACTTTGTGAAATGTTGTGGGATGCACACTTTGACACCTATCTGCACATAAAGGCTTAATTCAAGTTTGTTCAGCTTTATCAATTAGTGGCATTTTTCATGAAAAAAATCAATTAATCGAAATCAGGGTTTCCAATTATTAGTATTTTTGATTATTACAACTTTCCAAGTAATTGAAATACTGCCTAAGAACAAAGCTACACAATGGGCTATCTGTGCTCTGCCCACCATGAGTATCAAAACCCGATTTGTATTATTATACTTTTTTTTAGACATTACGTAAGAATAAGAGAATGTAATTAAATATAACTGATTAACAACCCACAATGACGAATCAAATAGCAAATTCCAGTAATTGTCCAGTTCTAGTCTTCAATAAAACCTTGCCATCAGCATCCTTTAACCCTCTCACTATGGGTAGGTAAAAGTGCAAATCACCTTTTATAAAGTTCCAGTCAAAATTTAATTAAACTATTATAAATGTATATGAATAAACTTAGCATTAAAATGTAGTTAATAAATCATCAATCTCCCCTAGTATGAGAATTGTGACATGTGTTCTCTAGGTCATCCTCCTTTATTTATCACCCCTCTAAAGTGGTTCCCAGTAGGATGGCTAGAAGGAAAGAAGTGATGGGCAGACCAATGATGAAAGACCCACCACTTCTGTTGAGAGACAACGTGGAAGAGCAACAGGAATGTGAAAAGAAGAATGCCACATAATTGGAGAGAGTGATCCAAACAAATCCACACATGTGAAGATAGAAGGATAATAACCCTCGATAAAAAAGGAATGTGTGAGGCTGGAGTAATAGAGAAAGGATATTTGGTAGAGGAAGGGTGGTCTGAATGCTAAGCAAAGAAGCAGAAGAAACAAAGGCTAAACTGGCCAAAGAGGCACAAACAATAGGACCCGACACGGAATGTCGCGTATGATGACAAAGACCCCGAGTGAGGATACAAAGAGGAGGATAGGCATATAGAGAGAGGTGAGGCCAGGCCTGGCTGAAAGCATTGACAGAAAAAGGAAAATGATGAGGAAAAGGGAACCAGATGAGAGGATGTTTGGAGTTGAAAAAAATGGTAAAGGCATCTATGAGAGGAATGTCCAACCAACAGCCCAGAAGCACGTGGTAATCCATTAGTGCCCTCAACAGTTAATGAACCTCCAGAAGCCATAGTAGAAATAAGGCTTGCGTGTGTAATAATGTCACACACAGGACTACGCATAAGTCACCATCATTTGAGAATCATGAGAAAAAATTAAAGCTTTTGAAACAAAACCCAAAGTTTCATTAACAAATTCAAATCTCATCAAATTGAACTCAGATGAAAAATTATGAACATATCTCTTCAGTGCAATTCCAAGAATAACAATAAGTTATCATGAGTACAAGTGCACAGGGGGGAGTTACTGCACATGGAGGTTATCTCCCTCCTACTGGTGTAGGGATTTTGTTGCATGATAACATCACCATGTACCAGCAGAGTTCATGTCAAACAAGTGAATTTAGGTGGGAGTTACCTCAAGGCTAGTGGTATGCAAATCTCATAGGTGAGTTAATGTCTTGGAAGGAATTATTTACAGCCACTTCTCTTAGTTACAAATTGAGTTACATTATAATAGTTATAGAACATTATTTGCTGTGTGTATGTTATTATTCTGTGTTCTTAGATACATTACTTAAGTATATAAAATTATTTACTGCACTACTACCACCATTATAAATAAATAGGCTTAAATTTCATTGGCAAACCACAATAAAAAGAGGTCAAAGTTAAGTATTATATTTCTTGTTTTTCATTTATATTTTTTATTTATTGTTATAAAAGTAACTCAAATATATAAATTTGAAACTTATTAGGTTAGATTAGGTAAGATGATGAAAGTTAATAACAAAAATTCTTCATGAGGTATGCTCATGAATAGCTCATGCTTTACATCATTCAATATGGTAAAGTGATCTATGCATTCGTCGAGTGATCTACAACCTGTGTAATGGGATTATTAGTCAGATATGGTTCAAAGACCAATAAAAGTAAGTATAAACAGATGTTGGGTGTTACAAGCCTTAAGCTATTTAGAATAAACAATTGTAGTTTTCTGTTACAATCTGCAGTCATTTTAAAAAGAAAAAAAAGGGCTATTCAGATTTAATATTTTTTTTATGGAGGGTTACAAGGCCAGTCAAACTGACTGAGTCTGTATAGAGTTAGAGAAAATAACAGATCAAATATAAAGTTTTATTGAAAAAAATGTTTGAGATTTATTTAGGTCTTAGGAAGTTACATAAATGAAATTTGAAATTTTCAAATGAAGTATTTTGCACTTGAAGCAGTCAACACTCTGACTAAATATATTCATGAACAAATCTTTAGTAAAAATACTTAATTAATGAATATATGATTTTTTTTGGTTCAAACCTCTTATGTTTACTGAAAGGTTTCCAAATTTTGCAAAGATACACTAAACATATTAAAAGTTATAGGTTTGAAACTCTGATGGTTACTTTGTGGTTACAGTGCTGGTCACATCCACTGGCTCTGTTTGGAAAGAGTTAAGAGTTCAATCCCCATTTTAGCATTTTGCTTACCTTTAACATTCTTAAAAAAAAACCTCACTGTGAATTCTAACATTTTCAGCCAGCTGTTTCTTGTAAGCTCTTTTGAATTTCTCAATTTATCTTTTAATAAGGTAACTTCCTATAGTTCTGTGAGCCCTCTAACCTATGTGTCAATTTAAACTTATTACATTTAACCCTCATTTTTGTATACCAATTAGGTTTAGTCTTCTCCATTAAAACTTTTTCCTCTTTTTTGGGACTCACCTATCTTGAATTTGTAGGAATTTACTTTAAATATTTCCAAAATTTGTCCCAAATTACCTTTTAATTCATTATCCCAATTCACTAATGATAAATTTTGTTTCATGGCCTCAAAATTTGTTTTCTTGTACATGTTAACATTTCTTGGTCTTTTGATGAACAAGGTACTCGCAGAATGAGATCTACTGTAACTTACACAATTCAAAATAATTTTAGCTTACCATACAGTTCAGTCACCTTATAAGACTTCAACAATGAGTGGATACCTGTTAAAAATATAACCATAAAAACACTGTACAAGATAATTCAATGAGAATGTGACTTTGTATATCCATTCTTTACTATGCTGCACATATTCAATAGTCAATTTTTTTTCTTTTTCCTAGTCATAGTAAGCCTTTTAACTAAAAACATTAAAGCCTGATCTATATAACTTCAAATTAGCATCCATAATACTAATATCAGGCAACATACTAACCCATCTCATTCTCTAGTGAACTGAGCATACTATGCTTTCACTAATTATTCACCTAGCTGTGTCAACTGAAGGGCTTAGCAGAAGTAATTACAGTGATGTCAACTACACATATAACAGCTCCATCAGCAAGCTTTTCAAGATAACTCCAAAGACAAGGACCACTGATTTCAATGAATGAGCCAGTAAAAATTAAATGCATTTGTCAAAGCTGCCCTGTTTGAGACCAGCAGTTTAACTTGATTTGGATCAGGTTAAAAGGGATAGGTGTCAGAAACAGAGATGAATCTTTTTTACATCAAAAAAAAAATAATTCTGAGAGAAAAGACCATCTTAAAAAAAGAATACAGTTGGCTTCACATCATTCACCACAGTTTCAAAAACAGTGGTCATAGGACATTATTTTGAAACCTGTAACTGAACTTAATCTAATGTACCAAGAGGGGATAAGTAGAGAAAAAAGGGGGTTATGATATTTCTCAGAACCTGGAAAAAAAGATCCAGGGAATTTCAGCCACCTAGTCTAGTAATAAGATCCTTTATAAACCTGGCATCCTCTTTAACCTCTGTCTCTAGCAGACTGCTTGAAACAAAATGTATAACATTAATAGAATTACAAACCCTTATAAGATTTATGTTTATTCTCTCATGGAAATGACAACTTCATGTATAATAATAATACTTTCTGAAAATACAACAATTTTTATCTTTTCAGGTCTTATTCTGTAACTACATTCTTTTTAACATAATGATAATTAAGTCTAATATAAAATCTGAAAAAGACAAAACACTTGTAGTCCAAAATTTACAAATACACACACACACATAAAATAATATGTTAATAACTAAAATTTACATTGAATCTAACAAATCACAGTCAAATGTTTTCTTGGGACTGGGAGAGTTATAGATTCTCACATTGTCGGCAGCATTTACGAATTCATTATGACATTAATTTGATTAAACCGTAAAGTAAACTAAAGTTCGTTACTCATCGCAAGTTCATAGCTGTGTAACAACTAATAATACTATTACTATTAGTAATGCAACGATGAGCCTAGTTTTAGTAATACTAATAGTAGTACTAGCGTAGGCTTTTGTTTGAACACTCTGTTAATAATATCCCTTCAAGTTATTATATTCGCCACCCTTGCTCAAACAACTCAGTTCCGTTTAGAAATTGTTTACTGTACGTGTGATTTACTTATATTTTAATAATTTCAGTTGAAAACATATACCCACCTCCTTTATCAAACAAAATCTCACGATGTCACACAATTCAATATGCTGGGATCTACTGAGGCGGCCTCTAATAAAGTATGTACCGAACACAAAGAAAAATAACAATAATAATTTTAAAATTAAATCAATTACGTTAATATTTTCAGTTCACTATTTCACACAGTAATCAAATAAAGGCATATACAGTATACAAAACCAATAATATGTGTACTTCAAATTTTTTTATTTTGGAAGTCGAGAAAACTAACTGCTATTGAGTTTCAAATCGAACTTAAATTATGGAAATCCTGCCTCATATTATATTTTCTATTACAAAATATAAACTGAACTGAAGATCAATTCTAAAACATTAGTTAACTATATTGATATATGCTTTTTATTTGTAATTAAGCACAAAGCTACACAATGGGCTATCTGTGCTTTAACCACCACGGGTATCGAAACCCAGATTCTAACGTTGTAAGACCGCAGACATTCCGCTGTGCTACTGGGGGGAAACTGAGTTGTGAGGAATTACGTTATCATCATTTCTTCCTTCAGATGCAGGTTTCTGTTGGCAAATAATCATAACATTACATATTTCCTACATCACACACACATAACTTTTATTAATAATTACAAGTTTGCTATTTACATCTTACATTTTGTCAACTTTTTTTACTAAGGTTTTCCTTAACCTTTATACAGGTATTCAAACGATGTTTCATGTGTATTTTTCGAGATTGATAAATAAAATGTTCTAAGAATAACAACTTCTTGGAAAAGTAAAAACATTAAAGATTTAATTACATGTTGAAATTAGGCCAGTTATGTAACAGCTTTTTATTATGTGAATTTAAAAAAAATTACTTTCTTCACATGAAATTCAATTACTGCATAAAATTATATGGCTAAAGTGTTCAAACTTTTGTATATAGTCACTCTCCATAATACCTGAATGGTAACTCTTTTTTAATTTTGGTTTTACAATGTGATGTTTTAATTTTTTTATGTAAATACGCAATTTTGCTGTAATTGTAAGATATCATAACATAAAACAGTTGTAAGTAGACTCAAATCTAAATGGTTATCCACTTCAATTAAGTTTATTATTTACTCTTAAAATGATAAATCTTATTAAGCAATACATTTTTTGTAAGAGAGATGAACCAAAAATTGCCCATGGAAAATGCACTGAGGCTTAGTTCACATACAATATCATAGATGGCTCCCAGCTCAACATTTTCAGTTTGTTAATTACAATCATGGTGTCTGAATGTTTTCACTTAAAAAGAGTTCTGCACTTCTACCTAGTGTCATTACAGGGATAAATAACTTATTAGTTTATATTTTCATATAATTTTGTATGTATTCATAATTACACGTTTAGATTAACATGAAGCGATACTGTTTAATAGTTTAATTTTTGAAAATATCTTGAAAGAAAAAACAAATTTTGTAATGATTATATGGTGCATAAAACAAGTCACAGCTTTGTCATTATATGTGCAAGTACTATATGTTAATTCTTGCCTATGCTATTTTGTACGGATGATGCAAATACCATCCTTACATTTACTTCTTTTTGAAAAGTTTTTTCTTTAATGTTAGCTATATTCTTGTGCACCAGCAATACCAAGAGTGGAGCGCGCGTATCTCCGATTCGATTTTATTACTCATCAAGATCTCTACCAAACTACCCTCAAATCCAATTATAAGCCCAAAGTAACGCACTGTATGTTTTATATGTGTACGAAATAACACTTATAAAAGCAGATACTCCGTTTGAAACTATGTCACCTCAGTGAAATCGGTTGATACCATTGTTTTATTTTTGAGTTACCACGTAATATAAAAGAAGCATAAAAAAACAAGAAATTCAGACTTTTTGTATGATATTTAGACCAGAACTTATGACTCAGTCATTACATAGATATTGCTATAAAAGGAAACACTATATAATATTGTAAAGTTATGATGACCTATATTTAAAATACCATTTCGATGAACAATCCGAGCCGTCCCTACATACGTAGTGCTACTGCCTGTTTGTTTGCACATATTATTTCTGCCTCATTCCTACCATACGTACTACCGTACTTATGATACATATATATATATACAAACATACACAATCATGCTGATAAAGATTAGCAAACAACGAAATTAAATGTTAGTTGAAAATATAAAATCAGGTTTCTAAATTTATTAGGACGTCAAGAAATTGATGTCGTGTTTGGGAACACTTTTATTAACTACCCCCACCCTCCACCCCCCAAAAAAACACGCACATCACGTATAATAGTTAAGCTCGGTGATTCGAGTTCGAGCGAGATTGGTAGTGAACAATGCCACGAAAAAGTGAACGGGCTAGCAGTCATATTGAGAGAGGAGGGAAGGACGTGGACGACCCTCGACGATGGGTGAATGGGTCGGCCACTTCTGGCCCAGTTAGCGTGTCGCACGACATGGAATTTGATAGAGATTATGCCGGCAAACGAGTGAAATCCGATCC